CATAGAAATTCTTTATGGCTCCAACTCTGGTAAGGAACTTTACACTTGTTGTTCTACGTACAGTATTTTTAGATGTTTATCTTCTGTCACTGCCAACAGCATGCTTTCTGCTTCTCATTACTACACTGAACTGAACTGTTGCACATCAAAATAAAACACGTCTTTCCCCTCCCCATTTTTCATGAGCTGAATTCAAAGATTAAAAGAATTTCTATGTACACAACCTTTTTCTCTCTAATATTCACAAATTTGTGTAAATGTGTGTTAGTGAGCACGTCTCCATTTGCTGAGAGGATCCATCCACATCACAGGTGTGCCTTAGGCCGACCACAATAAAAGGCCACTCTAAATTGTGCAGGTTTGTGCAACACATTTCCTTCATAGAGTGGATCAGGTTGTTGATTGTAGCCTGTGGGATGTGGGCCCACTCCTCTTCAATGGCTGTGTGAAGTCACTGGATATTGTCAGGAACAAAGCAGGTTCCGTCCTGGCCGTGGAACACTGGATCAACTCTTTATCCTCACTAGGGTCCTCGAGGGGTCGTGGGAGTTTGCCCATGCTACATGTGTTTTGTGGACTTGGAGAAGACTTTCGACTGTGTTCCTCGAGGTACACTGAGGGGGGTGCTCCGTGAGTATGGGATTAGGGGCCCGTTGCTACTGTTCAGTCCCTATACAAGTGATGCGAGAGTTTGGTTCACATTGCCAGTAGTAAGTCGGACCCCTTCAGGGTGGGAGTTGGACTCCGCCAGGGCTTCCCATTGTCACCGATTCTGTTCATAAGTTTTATGGACAGAATTTTTCATCGCAGCAGGGGGTGGAGGGAGTCCGGTTCGGTGGCCCCAGGATTCCATCTCTGCTCTTTGCAGATGATGTGGTCCTGTTGGCGTCGTCGTGATCTCCAGCTCTCACTGGAGCGGTTCGCAGCAGAGTGTGAAGCGGCTGGGATGAGAATCAGCACCTCCAAATCTGAGGCCATGGTCCTCAATCGGAAAAAGGTGGATTGATCTCTTCGGGTTGAGGGTGAGGTTCTGCCTCAAGTGGAGGTGTTCAAGTATCTCGGGGTTTTGTTCAGAAGTGAGGGAAGAATGGAGCGTGACATTGACTAACGGATTGGTGAAGTGTTTGCAGTATTGCAGACTCCATGCTGGTCCGTTGTGGTGAAGAAGGAGCTGAGTCGTAAGGCAAAGCTCTCTGTTTACCGGTCGGTCTACGTTCCTATCCTCACCTATGGTCATGAACTTTGTGTAGTGACAGTAAAAATGACATCGCGGATACAGGTGGTTGAAATGAGTTTCCTCCTGTTGGATTTCATATTTTTATACCTTTTTATATTTCCTATCAAGCATTCAAATGTCATGTTATACAAAGTGTGTGTGTGTGTCTTTCTTCCAGGGTTGCACTATATTTATAGAAAATGTGTACTAATTCTAACTATTTTACCTTTACATATAATCTTATATTAGCTAATGATATTTTACAAGTTCACATTTGATATATTACAAGCAATCAAATCATGCCAGATAGCAGACTGATTAACATAAATAAAGCTAGAACACATGTCTTTAATTTAGACTTAATATAGTTTGACTAAGTAAAATCCAACAATCTCTCTTTGGTGTAGCCCACCCCCTGAAGGACGTTAGTTTAAAAAGTTTATGGCACACTGAAATCGGTTTTGTTTTAGCTCTGTTTGTTTAACGTGATTATACCTTAGTGATACCAAATGATTTGAGTTAAAGTTGTTTATTTCTAGGAATAATTAATAACTATTAAATATTATCTAACTCATGTTTGCGTGTTCTTACTTGATCCCTTTTTATACTTTTGTTTTAGTTTAGTTGCTTTAGTTGGATTTTACTTAGTCAAACTATATTGTCTAAATTAAAGAAATGTGTTCTAGCTTTATTTATGTTAATCAGTCTGCTATCTGGCATGAATTGATTGCTTGTAATATATCAAATGTGAACTTGTAAAATTATCATTAGCTAATATAAGATTATATGCAAAGGTAAAATAGTTAGAATTAGTACACATTTTCTATAAATATAGTGCAACCCCGGAAGAAAGACACACACACACACTTTGTATAACATGACATTTGAATGCTTGATAGGAAATATAAAAAGGTATAAAAATATGAAATCCAACACTCCACAGGGTAGCTGGACTCTCCCTGAGAGATAGGGTGAGAAGTTCAGTTATCCGGGAGAGACTTGGAGTAGAACCACTACTCCTCCACATCGAGCGGAGCCAGTTGAGGTGGTTCGGGCATCTGGTGAGGAAGCTTCCTGGGCGCCTCCCCAGGGATGTGCTTTGGGTACACCCAGGACATGCTGGAGAGTCTCTCAGTTGGCCTGGGAACACCTTGGAATCCTCCCAGAAGAGCTGGAAGAGGAGGCTGCGGAAAGAGATGTCTGGGCCTCCCTGCTCAAGCTGCTGCCCCCGCGACCCGACTCCGGAACAAGCGGAAGATAATGAATGGATATTTGGAGTCAACTTGCTGTTTGTTAGCAAAATATCTCAGGAACCGTTGGAAGGATTTTTATAAAAACTCAGGAAATCATTGAATGTGCATATATAACTAAGTAACGTTTTGGGCCATTTAAATTAAAAATGGCTGCCACAATTATCTGACCATAGAAAACATAAATGGCTATAATTCAGTAAATGTAACAGATGTGCTAAAATTTATTTAGGTTGTAGCTAAAAGTTATTCATAACACATAAGTGCTGCTCACTGCACAGATTTTCCATTTTAAACCTTTAGCGTATCTGTTGGAGTCACCCTTGTTTGTCTGTTAGCAAAATATCGTATGAAGCGCTGGGTGGATTTTAAAGAAACTTTCAGAAAGTAATCCCTGAATATGATTACCTTTTGGAGTTAGTCAAAGTCAAGATGACTGCCATAGAATAGATAATAAAATTAAACATTTAAATATAGTTCAGTCAATCTTACAGATATTGAGCTAAAATATGCCATTGTAGTAGCAGAGAGTCATTCACAATGCATACTTTGAGCACATCTCACAAATTATTGTTTTTATTTTCACTTAAATGACATTGTCATTTATCTACTGTATATAAAAATAATCTGTCTAAAGCTCTGATATGAAAAGCAATATGCATTTCATCAGTGCATGCTAGGCCTCTCATTATTTACACTTTGAACATGTTTTGCTATTTCTAAGTAAAAGTCTTGGGCTTGTTTGCCCCATTTGCCTCCTCTGGTTAAATGTTGAGGAAACACAGTGGGTTGCAACATTAAACATCTTTCTGTCTGCATTTTTAATCCCAGTACGACGAGAAACCTGAGCCTGGGGACCTGATTGAGATCTTCCGCGGCACTTATCAGCACTGGGCTGTGTATGTAGGCGACGGCTTTGTTGTTCACTTGGCACCACCCTGTGAGTTACACAACAGACACACAACTGTACCCCAAATACCAAACCAGTCTGAAACAAAAAGCATCTCATGCCAGCTCACATGTTCAATCTACAAAAGACGTTTCAGGGAAAACAAGTATATTTGAAATCCTAAAATGATTCTTGGACAACACACATATTGACCCTCAAAGCAACTTAGGAGACCAAACGTGTACATTCTGCTTATTTGCTATTTTTGTTTTCAGTAAATCAGCCAGTTTAAAGGCTAATTTCATGAAACTTGGCCATGATTTGTTTAATATTATTTCTTATAAAATTGCATTTCCCCCTCTATTGCAATACTCTTTAATCTGAGGTCTGATTTGGTTCCATTCACTCCCAATATACAGTAACCACATATTTTTAATGTACTGTAATCCCGATTTGAGTCAAATGTACAGGTTTATTTTTTGATCGAGAGAGCTTCCTTACTTCAAATGGATACATGGTGTAACTTGTTTGTTTTGAATTATAGAAAAGTAGTTTGCATCTGTATGGCAGCTCATTTCTCCAGCAGACAGCACGAGGAAAAGCCTGACAGAGGAAGTGCTAGCTGCAATTCTGCAGTCTTCTAAAGAGAGTGAGCTGGATGAGGAAGACGTTACCTGCAGTGAAGATTCCTCCGAGGGCCGGGAGAGATCAGGGGAGGAACACCTGCTGGTCTCAGAGGAGCAAGTTGTTGGAAAGATTTGATGCAGTGGAAGTAAAAAAAAAAAAAAAAAAGAATGCATTACTTTTTTTATTAGACTTTTAAGAGAGGGACCAGTTTGGGCCTTAGGTTAAAAGGTGTAAGGTTTTTGAATAAACTATCATTGCTCTAAAAATAAAAATAAAAATGCATCAAAATCAATGTTATCCATTATTGATCTAATCAAGGCTGTAATAACCTCGTGCCAAATATTTCACTTTGCGACTCATTTTTGTAAAATCTTGCATATTTTGTATTTTTCCATAGGGAAAAAAATTACAGGTTTTTATGACAAAGGTATAAAAATGTAAAAAAAAAAAAAAGATATGGAAAACAAAAACTTCATAAAAAAGAATTCATATCTGAAGTTGATGAAAAGATTGGATGCAGTGGAAGTAAAAGCAAATTTATACCACACGTTTTTATTAGACTTTTATAAAAGGGACCGTTTTGAGCTCATAGTTGTTACGTGTAGTCATTTCAAAGGTTCCTTAACAAACCCTTCTCTGCGCCTCACGTTTTCTTGTTGCTGCTTGTGTTTTCTCAGCTGAGGTTGCAAGTGCAGGGTCCAGCAGTATCATGTCCGTCATAAGTGAAAAGGCCGTCGTCAGGAAAGATGAGCTGTGGGACGTGGTGGGAACCGACCGCTGGGTGATCAACAACCACCTGGACAAAAAGTATAAACCTCGCCCAGTCCATGTTATTGTGCAAAACGCCTGCACGGCCGTTGGCCAGGTGATGCCGTACTGCGTCCTCAGAGGGAACTGCGAGCACTTTGTCACCGAACTGCGCTACGGCCAGGCTGAATCCCGGCAGGTAGGCAACACAAAGCACAACAAAACAACCCGACAAAAGGACGATACAAATCTAAAATCGTGCATTTCATCTCCTGTCTCGGAGATTCATGACGTGTAATAATTTATGCATGAGACGTTTGCATCTAAAAAAAATGGAAAACATTGATAAAAATACAAATTGCTTCACTATAAAACAGTGTTTACTAAATTATGGATGTTCAGCTTTTACCATACAGGAATACAGCAAAAGAGGTTACGAAAACATTCAGTCATAATACAGTAAATATTACTAACTACTAGATACTGAGCAGAAAGACCTATTCAGGGTGGTGAAAACGTCCAAACGTATCTTCGGTCTGGAGCTCCCACTGCTATATTCCACCACAACAAGGAAAAAATATTTACACTGACCACTCATACCCTAGCCATCTAGACATCCATCCATCCATCCATCCATTCATCCATTATCTTTACCCACTTATTCCATTTTGGGTCACGGGGGTCGCCGGTGCCCATGTCCAGCAGTCACTGTGCGAGGGGCGGGGTACACCCTGGACGGGTCGCAAGTCCATCACAGGGACACATAGAGACAAACGAGACAACCATTCACTTCCTCACTCACACCTAGGGACAATTTAGAGTTACCAATCAACCTAACATGCATGTTTTTGGTCAATGGGAGGAAACCGGAGCACCCGGAGAAAACCCATGCACGCACGGAGAGAACATGCAAACTCCACCCAGAAAGGCCCCTGGACAGGGGTTTGAACCAAGGACCTGCTCGCTGAGAGGCAGCAGCTCTACCAGTTGCGCCACCATGCTGCCCACCATCTAGACTGTTCAGGACAATAAGACCTTGTACCAACAGACACAGAAATGGCTTCTTTCCCAGAAATCACTCTTCATTCCCATTCCAATTCCCACAATCCCCAGCAATACAATGGACTGTAAAGCACAGCCATCACCACCCACTGCAACATACTATGGCATATTGACCTTTATCTTTTAATATTGTCCTTCTACGTCACTGTATATAATCAGTAACCACACATTTAACCTCTGCTACTGTTTCAGACACATTTTTATTTTATTGCCTTAAGAATGCCTTTTATAAGTATACTGTCCATGTCAATCATGGACTTCTTCAAAAAAGCTGAAGCTTGAAGAAGTTTTTTGGATTAAAGATGAAACGTTTCAACAATAAGAATCCGTCCAGAAGATCTGACTTAACCTTGTTAGACCTCCGAAATATACATTGCAGTTTGTTTACCAGTTGGTCAGGATGCTCTTGACAGGGCAGCAGTAGAGGTTCATGGTTTTTCTTCAGAGTCCTCAGGAAAAAGAGGCGACGCTGGGCTTTCTTGATCAGGTTTGAGCAGTTGATCATCCAGGTGTGGTCCTCTGAGATGTGGGTCCCTGTGCAGCTGGTTTTATGCTCCACTGCTGCACTGAAGTCCACAAAGAGTTCTTTGGTCTTGTTGGTGTTGAGCAGCAGGCTGTCACACCACATTGAAGGCAAACTCGTTCTTGATGAGGCGAATCACTGCGGTATCTGCAAACTTAACTAGAAGCACTCGGAGCGTACACCTTTGCCAAGACCCTAGGGTCACTGTCTGCAGACAGACAAGAATCTTTAAACAAAATTCCTGGATCTTGGTGGCAATCGATCCAGATCAGCACCAAAATTTAATAATTTGTTCTTTGTGAGATCAACATTTCCTAAAAATGTCATGAAATTCAAAAACTTTTTGAGTAATCTTGGGCAGAACCAACACTACCATAAACATAAACCTCCTTGGTGGAGGTAATAATGATGTAGGAACAAGTCTGCAGTTGTGAGTAAAGGAACTGACTTATTACACATCCTTGTGGC